GATTGAGTGGCTGGGCAGCTGGTGGTAGTTATTCCCCATGATGAGACTGGCAATCAGGTCCATGGTGGGATCTACCACAAGCAGCTGAGTAGCTGCCTTTGGGATGTGGTCTGCTTCCTGTATATAAGCAGAACCTTTGGGAATGGTCTCTAGCCTATGGCATGCTTGGACCCTGCATGTAGCCATGTCGTTGCTCAGCAGCTTGCTATGCTCTGTCAACCTTGGGACTTAAAATGGACTTAAGTCAATGGCCTGCCACGTGGTTTGGTAACATCGGGACTGTGCCTTTTTACTTGTCAACCTTGGGGCTTCTCAGCCTCAGCAGCCAGCAGCTATCTGAGTGAAGAAACACGTCTAGCTCCAGTGGGCTGGGAGCAAGAGACAGAATTGAACCCCAAGGTTGAGGGGCTTTCTCCCAGCCCCTAGAGCCTGGTACTTTGAACTTGGACTTAAAGCCTCCAAATTGTGAGAATAAACTCCTGTTTGTTAAGGCCATCCTACTTGTGGTATATTCTTGTCAGAGCAGTACTAGGTAACCAGAACACTGCCCTTCTATTCTCCCACTTGATTGCTCCAAGGAGTGTATCTAAATCTTCACCCCTTATGTCTGTCTATTGCTTGGCTGGAAGCCACAGGAGTGAGTTCAGTTCCAGACCTGAAGGTTAACTAGGGGCCATAGTCTCAGAGGTCTCACCAAGCGCTATCAGACCAGCAAACCTGGTTTCTTTTCTTTAATGATTCTGAGTTTTGTTCCACGTTGTCCTCCCACTTTACCCAGGATCTCCTTTCCAAGTGGTTGACAGTGGTAGCTGGGCATCATCTAGCTCTTCTTGTCTCATGGTCATATAGGCTGAGGATCGCATGGTCTGTCAGTCCCTTGGACTAATTGTTTCCATGCATCTTTGGTTTTCTTCATTCTTCTTTGCTCTGGATGAAGAGACTCGTTGCATCTAAATGGCCGCTTACAAGCTTTTAAGACCTAGTTGCTACTTACCAAAGTAGGATGTAGAACAATGTTTTTGTGTAGTATGTTATGCCAGTTCAGCTTGATGTCTCCTGTGACCACAGTCCCAAGCCCACAGGTCCAACTACTCACTCCCTCAGGGTAGCTGCTGTGGTCAAGAAGCCACCACAACCTTGTCCCTTGTCAGCCCTACTATACACCGGAACATTCTTACAGCACATACAAATAAGGTTGTACAAACATTGTCTGCCAACTCAATACATGGTCATGGACACACTCCCTCCTACCTAGACATACCTGATTGTTCAGCCAGTCTACCCATCTATCCACCCGTAGATCAATGCTTGTCATTACTGACAACGCAGTACTGTACATGCAAAAGAGTTCACCTTTGTTGTACCTACCGTGTACCTCTCTGTGTCATCCTCTTCCTCGGTACCACCATGTTGATCATTCACTTTTGGTACATTGCCCTTCCCTTCACCCAAATCAATACTTGTCTCTTCCTATCTTTGAATCTTAGGTTTCTCACCCATGAAATGGGATGGTAATGCCAAACCCTCAGGTCTTGGTTTGATCATGAGATTCACCAGAGCTGATGTAAGCAGGGAAATCAGGTTGATCCCACCTGGCCCTTTCTGCCCCAGCCAGAGGCTTGGGGGAAGGGAGGCTCCACTTGGCTCCACCTCCACAGGCTGCAAACTCAGCTTTTTCAGCCCTCCTCCAGGAAGAAGGGAGGGAGGGAGGTGCGGAGTGTGCACAGGCTGCCAGCAGACAAGGCAGTGATGCACAATCATGAGCCAGACCACATTTTCCATCTTCATGATCACTTCCGGACCCAGCTTCTGGGCCTCCAAGCAAGGTTGGGGGTAGGAGGCAGATGAAACTAGGGCTTCCTGGAGCCTCTGACTCCAGGTCCATTACTCAGGCCAGATTGTGATCTCCAAAGAAGCAGGGCTAAAAGAGGCCTCAGCCCTTGGGGAAGAACCCAGCTCTGAGGCAGTCGGGATAGAAAGTCTGCCTGACTGCCTGACCAGCCTGCCCCCTCGCTTCAACACCACTAGCATCCTGGGCAAGCTGTGAGGCCCCAGTCAGCATCCTTGAATTACTTCCTGTCTGGGACTCGGGCTCAATCCCTTGAGTTTTGTTCCTTTCGTGAATCCCCAGAGTCGGGCCATCTGTTCTCTGCCTCCCAGGGAGGGAAGTCCCAACATCAAGCTGAGTACAGAGAATCAAGTCACATCCCATTTCTCAGGAGTCAGGGAACAGAGGTCTCTTTTTTCCCCCTGCTAAGAGCATAATACCCAGAAAAGGAAGGGCTTTGGTAAGGTCCTACAGAAGCTCCGGGCTCCAGTCCCCACTGCCCCCCACCTCTGGCTCTCAGGATGTCATGAATACTGAGTGACCAACAGCCATGCTCTATGCCTGACTTCCCACCAGGAAGGAGAGTCATACCCCAATTCCCCATCTCTTCTGCACCCATGATTTCATCATAGTCATGGGGCCCAGCAGAGACAACTAGGGGAAACCTGTCGACAGGGCCCATCCCCTCACCTGTATCGAGGGTTGTTGATGAGACTTCGAAGTGCTGTGGAAAAGGGCGCAGCCTCCCCATGCACAACCACTCCTGGGGGCTCCATGGGTGGAGTGAGGTGGGGGAAGTAATCACAGTTGGTCTGTGAGACGCAATAGCTGGGAAGAAGCAGAGGCTTGGCCAGGCTTTAGAGCTGATGAGGAGTGGAAAGGCCTGAGAAAGAGGGGCAGGCGCTTGGAAGGCCTATTTGCTGAGAAGCTAGAATTTAGGGACAGGGCCTAGAGAGGCCCAGTTTCCTGAAGAAGACATAAGAAACTGGTGGAGGAGGCCATAGGCTCGGGAATGGGGCAGACATAGGGAGGGGCTCAGGAGAGGCTGAGGCAGGAACAGCCAGTGGTTGGGAAGAGGCTGGCAGCGCTTGAGGCCTGGGCTGGGAACCTGGCCAGGCAGCAGCCGGGGTGGGAAGCCTGTGGGTTTCCATGGAAACTGGAGCCCAGCCTAAAAGAAGATCCCGCCCATCTCCCGAAGACCTAGGGAAAACCTCACCCCTCAGAGAGGCCCTAAATGGAGTGGGAGGGTCCAAGCACCTTGGCTCCAGCCTGCCCAGAGTTCAGAGAGTTCAAACTCCCTGCCCCTCCTCCTGAATTGCAGTCAGATCAGATTACCCAGGCCTGGGAAACCCCCTTCAACAGGGAAAATCCTTGTTCTCTTGAAACAGTTTTCAGGGCCCAAGCCTGGCTTGTTTGGGAGATGGCGGTAACTCCCAGAGGGGGGTCAGGTGAGGAGGCGTCATCTCTGACCGAGGCGTCACAGCCTCAGGCATCCCTGAAATGCAACCGCCCTGGGGGTGGGGAGGAGGAACGACGACGACTGGGCACTAGGGCACAGAAGAGGGATGGCCAGCTGGGGACAAGCTCTAGGGTACTTGGGTCAACAAAGGTCAGGAGGTCTCAGGCAAGTCACTGCTTCGTCAGGCCTCGCTCCTACCAGTTGAGCCGCTGGGACTCCCCTCCCCCGCACACAGCCCCGGCTGAGGCTGAGGAAGTCATCCAAGCCCCACCCTAGCGCCCAGAGCGGAAATGTTTGTCCTTGTTGATGGTGATGGGGAGACGATAGTGCCTTGACGTGCTCCTTCCTGTGGGCTTACATCCCAGATTCCTGAGCAGCCACTCCCGCAGCCTCAGGGTCTCCCCAGATCCCAAACCTCTGACTTGATCAAGAGTAAACAGCCAGTTTTCAGGCCATTTCACAAAAGAAATAATGGACAGTCACTCAAGGGCCCTGGGGCAGGGGGACACCTTTCTGTCTGGAGCCCTCTCTCCTCTCTGTGACACCTCTCCCACCTCCATGTTGCCTCTCAGTCATCCCCATCTCGGTAGTTCATCCCTGAACTCCAAGCACCTGTTGCTACCCTCTTCCCTGATGATTCAGGGGCACTAAAGGCACCCCGCATTCACACTTATCAAGTCCTCATAGTGGTAACACTCAGAAAGTTAAGCAGAAACAGGATGGGAGGGAATAAGAGAGGGAGGAGTGCTTGCCCCAGGAACCCATGGCAACCCCACAACAAGGCCAGGGGCCCTTTCCCTCCTGCCTGCCAGTCAGGTCAGTCGGGCCAGTGCTGTGGAGCCAGGAAGAGAGCTCTGAGGCCAAAGTCTGGCAGGTGACTCAGGTGCCTGCGGGAGTTTCGGGAGCAGAGGGCAGCCATCCTAAAAGTGATTCTGGAGGAGGCTGGGCCAGAGGAAGCCAAAGTAGAGAGCAGAAGGAGTTTCTGAGTGACCTGCTCCCAGCCTCAGCCAGTGCCGGGGAGATCCTGTGCCAGCCATCCTAGAAACAGGTAGAAGATGACTGGATTCAACACCCTAGGACCAAAAGGATCTGTGGGGTTGAAGGGGTTGGGTCTGTCCATCCCTTCTGGTTAGGGGTTAGGGGAACAGGTCAGACAAAATTCCCTTCTGCTGGTAAAGCCAGGTGGGAGAAAGAAAATGTATTAAGAGCTCACCTAGCTAACTTCCATAATGTTCTTGGTAAAGTGGCACTCAGAAAAGCAGGAACTTCCCCAAGATCATGGTTAAGCGGTACATCTTCCCTGCTTGTTTCTAACAGCCTTTAACCTTCTAAGCAGGGGGACCCTAAGCACCCAGGAATCCATGTAGCCCTACCCTATTTGATCTGCTTGTTCCAAAAATAGTTAAGAAAGGGGTACCCATTGCCCTCAAGTGGGTTCTGACTCATGCAACCATCCCCATAGGGTTTCCAATTCTGTAATTTTTACGTAAAACAGATTGCCACATCTTTCTTCCACAGAGCAGCTGGTGGGTTGGAACAGCAAATCTCTGGGTTAGCAGCCAAGTGCTAAACCCCTTAAGAGGTAGGGAGTAAAGGGCTCCTTAAGAGGTAGGGAGTAAAAATCCTTAACATCACTGAGTCTGACACCGAGTGTGCCAAGATGGCCAGTGAAAGCCATCCAGCCTAAGTGTGGGTCTTCCAGTTGGCAGGTCCATGGCTGGCAGGCCTCTGCCCCCCAGTCTCCAGGAGGAGGAGAAGACTGCCAAAGACTCTGGGCCAAAACTACCACCGCTGTGGCCCTTAGGCCGCCTGCCCAGCATTGGTGAGGCTCGACCCACATGTCCTGGTCTAGGCCCGGCCTCCCGTCGTGGCTCTGTGCTAGGCCTGCCCACTTCCATCTCACATCGCAACTCAGTGGTGGGACTAGGCGTGGGTCCTGGGTGTCGGCGACCATCCCTGGGCCCAGTGCCCCCTCTAGGTTCGCGGGTCAGCTTCTCGGGGTTGCCCCTGGCGCCCACCCGCCGGGTGGCACCCTCATACCGCACGGAGCCTGCACCTGGGGAGCGTTGGCAGGCTGCCCTGGCACAGCGTGCCCTGGAGGCGGCACTAGCCGCGGGGCTGAGCAACACATCCTACTCTGGCTCCGAGGCTGGGCCGCTGGCACGGGAGCTCTGCGAGCAAGTGCGCCTGCGCCTGCGGGAGCTCAGCCCTCCACGCTACAAGCTGGTGTGCAGTGTGGTGCTGGGGCCGCGCGCTGGCCAGGACGTGCGCGTAGTGAGCCGCGCGCTCTGGGACGCCGCAAGTGACGGGCTGGCCTCTGCCGCCTTCACCAACGCCTCGCTCTTTGCGGTGGCCACAGTCCACGGGCTCTATTGCGAGTGAGGAAGCTTCCAAGTTCTGCAAAAACGGTTTATTATCCCAGGAGGAAGCCCTCCCTTGGGCTCACATCCCAATAAATAAATGTCTGTCAATAAATAAAAGTGGTCCATAAATAACACCCCCTAGCTGGGGGCTAAGGCTCAGGCTTGTCTTGGAGAAGGGGAAGGTGGCAGCGAGGGCAGGCAGCCACCAACCCCAGTAAAGCTGGTCCCTGATTCCCTGAGGGATTCAGCCCAGAGCCCCCAGTGAGGCACCAAAGGGAGAGGAGGGGGCACAAAGGCAAGGGTCCTGGCCTTACAGGCACAGGCCTCAGGCCAGAGGGCTTAGGTCAGGGCCAGCTCTGCAGGTTGGGTCCTAGGTAGGGCTGCGGTCCCGCAGGAGGTGCAGAGCATAGCGGAGCCGCTGCCGTAGGTCTGGGGCACAGCCCAGCTGCCGAAGGTGGGAAGCAAGGTAAGTACAAGCGCTGCGATTCCGGGCCACGAAAGTCACGAGGAGAGGCTCCCAGCCACTGAGGATCAGCTTGGTGTGGTCCCCGTAGAAGTTCACCTGTGCACAGGAGAGCAGCATGAGCAGGGCCTCAGCTCCAGGACCAGTCTCCCTGGGCCTCCCAGACCTTGCCCCCAACCCTAGCACCAGCTCTTACCTGGACAGTGCCATCACTGAACAGCATGAGTAGGGCCTGATCAGTCTTGACCCACTGCAGCAGCAATGGGGGAGCAGGGACCTCCACTTCTTCCACACTGGGCAGATCTCCACCCTGGGGGCAAGAGCATGAATCAGGCCCCCTTCCCATCGCTACTTCCCTTAGAGGTTCAGCCTCTAGCTTTGAGCACATCTCCTCACCCCACAAAGGGGAATGGGAAGGGATCAGGATGTGGAAGCCCTCCGTTTGCCCCACCTCAGATCACACACCTTCATGAGGTGCTGTTCCATGTAGGTGGCAAAATACCGCAGGACACCCAGCTGCGGCTGCAGTGCCCGGGGCACAGTACCCACAGAGAAGGAGAAGTGCTTTGCGCTGGTGGGGTTGTAGTGCACAGTCCTGGGGGCAGAGGGCAGAGGTCAGAGGGAGCTCTGCCTCAATGCCCCTGCCCCGAGACACCTCAAGCTCTTGAACCCAGCACACACCAAGGTACAGCCCTGCGGGGTACAAGGCACCCCATGACAGTACTTACTTTCTGTTGGCCGACAGGGCCATGTGTGTGCCGTCATTGAAGAGCACAGCCACACGACGGCTGGACAGCTGATAGCCAAAGCCAAACTTGTTGGAGTAGTCAACCCACTTGCTGACCCACACTAGAGGCTCTGGCTGTGCCAGGGGGGCCGGGTTCTGTTCCGCTGTCATAAGAGGGGAGGAAGTGAAGACCTGTTCCTGGCCTGATAGCCAAAGAACTCTCACCATCATTCCCACATACTAGACCCCTGCCTTACCTGGAGGCATGAAGGCCACACAGTTTCTCAGAGCACAGAGGGCTGACTCCACCACTGTGGCCACAGTCAAACCTTCTTCAAACCCTGAAAGGAAAAAGGACGCTGGGAATTAAGCATTAGTCCCTCTGCCCTCTCCATTCATCTAAGCCTGGGTCTCAGGCCCAGCAACCCCTAGCCCCTCTCATCCTCCCTGTCTCCTTACCATCTCCACTGCTTGCAAGCGTCCCCCGGGGCGAGCTGTCTTCAGGTGCTGTCTCTACCAGGCTGACAGGGGCTGGACCAGAAGCTACTGGAGTCTGGGAGGTTGGGTAGAATAAGGCAGTGATAAGCCCCAAAATACAGATCCTTGGGAGTCCATGGCCCAGCCCTGCCCTGGCTCCCAGGGCACCCCAGGTCAGCCTCGCCTGGCTAATGAGACACAGCCAATTAAGCTACCACGAGGCTGGATGCTTCACTGGCCTTTTATCCCAGGCTTCCTGCAGCTACAAGGGAGGATGAGTCAAGGGGCATTGCCCACGTGAGCACCTCACCTCAGGCCTGGCATCCTGATGGCCAATGGATGTCCGCATGAGGCCACTCACCAAACAGGAGACCTCATCCCGCTCCTCAGGATGGTTCTTACCTTGGGAGGCAGGAGGTTGGGGAGATCAGTGTCCTGCCCTGCCCACCCCCTGCTTCCCACAGGGATGACACACAGAGAGATGAGCATACACAGATGTCCATACAACACATGCTGTCCCCAGGAGTTCACAGCCCCCGCAACTCAGTATACTGACAACTCTACCCACAATCCACTGACACCCCAGACTCACTCTTGTTCTTCTTCCTGCCAAAGAGGCTCTTGGTAACTTTGGCAAAGAGACTCCTAGCTGGGTTGGGAGGTGTCAGGTCTGGGACCCTCATGCAGCTACTGACAGGAAGCCGGTCGGGGGTGTAGCCCTAGGGAGGGGAGTCATGTGAACAGAGAAGAGAGGCTCCAGGGGTCCTGTCACCTGGCCCCATTCAATTCCCTGGGGACAGGGAGGCTGGACTTTGGGTGTCTGGTGAGCCACAGACCTTGGTGAAGAAGTCATGGCGTAGAATCTGGTCAATTGAGGGGCGATCTCGGGGTGAGGCCCGTAAGATGGCAGCTAGGAGCTGCCGGGCAGGCAGTGAGAGGCTAGCAGGCAGTGTGTAGTGAACTTGCTTGATGCAGCGGTATGTTTCCTTCAGATCAGCTGTCTCAAAGGGGGGGCTCCCACACAGCAATGTGTACCTATGGGGTAGGGAAAAAGAGGTCAGGAGTAAAGTGGAGGGTACACCCCACCCCTGCACGCACCCACATCTTCCTCTGTTCTGGGACTCACATGACACAGCCCAGTGACCACACGTCTGCCTCAGGGCCATGGCCCTGTCTCAGCAGCACTTCTGGAGCCACATAGTTGGGGGTGCCACAGATGGTCCTGAAAGGGGGTAGGGAGGAGGGGGAAGAGGGAAGGCTCAGCTCCAGCACTGCAGCGCCCCTCCCATCCCTGCCCCCGCTGTGAGTCCAGACAAAGCAGCTGCCTGTCACCAAAGGCAAAAGAGCTCCTGCTTGTCCTGGGACAATGGATGCTGGGTATGGCAGCTGAGTCCCTGCCCACCCGCTTGGCCCAGCTGCTCAGCTGCTCTGCAGGACAGGGGGAGCCCCTGACCCCCCACCCAGCTTCCTCTCCAGGGTCAACATAGAGAGCTCATCACTGATTCCCCCTCCCCCTGATGCCGTCTGTCAGGCACCCATAGAGACTGTCACCTCCCATGGTCTGTGCTACACATACACCAACACCAGCTGTCACATCCCCCATAAACACTCATGTGCCATACACAATCTGTGTCATGAACACCCAATCACCGTGGCCACAGCAGGGTCTTCTTACACACTCACAGGGTGCCACATTCTACCATTCCTACACTCTCTCTCTCTCTCACACACACACACACACACACACACAATGACTGTGGCACCTTCCCCTTGTCTACTCACAGGGTCAGTCAGACACTTACAAGAACCCTCAAACCTCCATCTGTCTCAGAAACTCAGGGTCATCTATTCCATCTGTGTCACACATCTGTAGGGCCCTCAACCTCTCTGCCAGTCCCAGTAACCCAGGCTGCCACCTCCACCTTTGTACGTAAACAACTCATCATCCCCTTCCCCTTCTATCATACGCACACATCCAGCAGTCACCTTGCCTCCTACACATATACACTCACTGTCACGCACATCACATCATGTACATTACACACAGACCGTGGCCACTTGTCTCCTCAACACTCACTTCTTCCTCTGCTCTGGGGGTTCCAATCGGGCTGCCAGTCCAAAATCCCCTACCTTCAGCTCCATGTTCTCAGTGATGAAAAAATTTCCTGGAGGATAGTAGAGAGGTGTGTCAGACTCCTTCCTCCCTCTCTCTCCACCCTCTCATCCTACTGGCCCAGGAGTCTCACCCAGCTTGAGATCCCGGTGCAAGATGCTACGCTGGTGCAAGTACTTGAGACCAGAAAGGATCTGCCGCAGGTAGTAACGCACCTCTGGCTCCAACAGGGTGTGCCGGGCCTTCCAGATGTGGGCCAAGGACTGCAAAGAGCCATAGCCTCAGCCTCTGCACTGCCCTGCCTGACCCTCCCCCAATCTGTGCTCCCTGAGGGAGGGACAAGGCCCAAGCTTTGAGTCTTTTAAGGCCCCTTTCCCTACCCCACTTCCACCTGCATCACCTTTCGGCTGCAGAGCTCCAGGAAAATGTATATGTTGTCAGCATCCTCAAAGTGGTGCAAGAAACGCACGATGTGGCGGTGCTGCAGCTCTTGGTGCAGCTCAATCTCATTTAGGATCTGTGATGGGGGCGCAGGGGGGTCGTCATTCTTCAACGGCCCCCGCAGCATGGTCTCCACCCACCAACACCACCCCGGGTCCGCGGGGCCTGGACTCACCTTTTCGCGCTGATGCGGCTTGGCGACGCGGCTCTGCGGGATGACTTTGACCGCGTAGGCGCTGCCAGTCTCTGTGTCAATGGCCTCGTAGCAGCGGGCGAAGCCGCCCTATTTGGAGAGAGCACCAGACAGGGCGCTCACAGGGAGTCCAGGTTTTGGTCTGTACACATCCCCGCGCCGGGGACAAGCGTCCCCGCCTGGCACGGAGCTGGGAAAAAGGCCGGCAGGGTCCCTCTCCCTGCCAGTATCACCTCCCGGGCAGCTCCCGACCCACCTTGCCCAAGAGGCGACCTTTGAAGTAGGTGCGGCCGCTGCGCGCGTCCGTGATGAGGCGCCCAGGGTCTGGCGCCGGTGTCCCGGCCAGCACCTCCAGGTCAGATCCAGGCACCCCACTCTGAGGCGGCCCGGGCCCGGCAGGGGGCGAGGGCGGGGCACCCACACGTGGGAAGGGGCTCTGGGACAGGAAGCCGGCGGCGGGCTCCATGCGGCGCGTCGCAGCGCGGGCCCGGCTTGATCTCTGTTCTGCCTGGCCCCGGCCGCGTGCGGCGCTGCCTGGATTTGCTACTCTGCGCTCGCGCCTGCCGGAGCCCGGAGTTTTTATCAATGAAAGCCTGCCCCCTTCCCGGTGTCGCGTCACCGAGAGCCCCGCCCCATTCCTGGCGACAAGTCACCAAGAAGCCACGCCCCTTCTCAGGCCTAACTTCACCAAGAAGCTCCTCCTTCCACCTAGCGCACTTCGACGCCCCGCCTCCTGCTTACTCCTTAAAGGCGCAGCCATACTGCCAGTCACTTACACGTTTGTACGCCCAGGCTATGGGGGCCAACTGTTTCCCGGTTCGCCCACCCACCCCACTCCTGGAAACTGTGAGGCTCGTTAATGGGGGCTACTTTCTTCCTCCATCCGAGTGGGAACCCGGCACTTAGGGTGGTCTCCCCAGCAACTAAATGGACCAGCGTTCCAGGCGGGAAGGCAGAGTCGGAGCCGGCGCTCGCTTTCGCCGGGGCACGTCACCAACACTCACTCCCCTTTCAGTACGAGAGATCGTGAGTGCGTCCCACGCCCTGGTTCAGAGCCTCCAGGCGTAGCTCAGTGCTGCCGCCTTTAGGGACTGGGTGGGATTGTACGCTCCCGAGGAGGTTTGCCTGGCCCAGGGAAGGCTATGCTGTGCTCTGGGGTCGATGGAACCTGTTTTCAAGGATTCTACCGTGCTCCTCGTCACATCTGCTACCATTGTCACACTCATGAGAATCACGGGCTCCAGCGGGGCCCCTTATTCCCTTCGTCTGAAAACACCCTGGTTCAGCAACCAGAAAGTCAAGAATGCGATTTCTCAAATGCTAGCTAGCGATGGGCAGTTGGACAGCTGGTCTGAGGACCATCTGGCCCCCTAGACACCTCCTCAATTCTCATCTTCCCAGGGCCAGAGACAGGTATGGGGTCTCTCTGGGGTGTTTGTCGCAGGATCACGTGCCACCTGGCCGTGTAGTACTTCTCACCTCTCTGCCCTCACACTGTACATCAATTACTAAGCCGCTTGGTCCTCAAGAATTCATTGAAAATACCAGCACACTCTTTCAAATAAGACTGGCCAAGATTGCAGCACTCATTTATTTTACATTCTGCTTGACGGAAACAGACAATAGGCAAGTATGTAAACAAAGTAATTGCAGATTGTGAAAAGTGCCATGAAGGAAGTAAACAGAAGAGTATCCCAAGAGCCTCCATTAGAAGAGTGGCCAGGAAAGTCAACAGTTATTGAGCACCCATTTTCTGTGAGTTTTCTCTCCCAAATGTCTGCGAAATCTATCCACTTCAATCCATCATCCCTTCACACCCTGGTCTGGGTTACAATCTCTCTTGTTGGGATTTCTGCCACCTTGCCTTGCTAATCTCATCTCCATTCACTCCTCCCTCTATGACCAAGGGATTTCACCCAATCCCCTCTCAGTCCTACAAATGGCTACTTCTCCAGCCTTGCCTTTCATGGCCACTGAAGGGAGACTCCAGACAGCCTGAGATGTGGGGAAATATTAGTAGCTCATGATGACTAAGGGGGAAATAAGGCATGAAGATGGGCAGGAAGCACTTAAGCGTCATGCTCAGAAGTTTGATCTTTATCCTGCAGGTCAGCAGTTTTCCAGGGGGAGATGGCAGTGGTGGGGTTAGAAATGACAAATCCCCAGGGGAAATGAGGCTGAGGTATGAATAGTTGAAAGAGCATTGCTATGGATTGAATTGTGTCCCCCAAAAAATACAAACTGTAAATCCTAACCTCTATATTTGTGGCTGTAATCCCACTTGGAAATAGCATTTTCTTTGTTATGTTAATGAAGTCATGTCAGTGTAGGGTGTGTTTTAAACCAATTACTTTTGAGATATAAAAGAACAGATTAGGCACTGAAGAAAGCAGATACAGGGAGATGCATATTATCTGAAGACAACGGAGGCAGACCAGTCTATAAACCTAGGAACTCCAAGGATTACTGGGGAGCAAAACTGAAATAAGGATTTTTCCCCAGAGTGGACAGAGACCTAGCCTTCCTCCCCTCGAGCCAGTGCCCTGAATTCAGACATGTAGCCTCCTGAGCTGAGAAAATTAATTTCTGTTTGTTAAAGCTAGCCACTTGTGGTATTTCTGTCATAGAAACGAAGACAAGCATATTCAATTTTGTATCTGGAAAATAAAGCAAAATGCCTCAATTTATGGCAAAGTTTTGGCTGAGGGGATTATCAGAAGATCTGGTACCTACAATTTGAGGGCCTCACTGACAAGCTCAGAATCTGATGTTCCCAAGCCTATAAAGTCCATTTGTCCACAGTTAACGCCCTAGTCCACTGAAAGGACTCATCTAGGTTTGTTGTTGTTGTTGTTGTTGTGTGCCGTCGAGTCGGCCCCGACTCATAGCGACCTCTCCTTGGGTTTCCGAGGCAGTATCACTACGGAAGTAGGATTGCCCAACCTTCCTTCCGAGGAGTGGCTGGTGGGTTTGAACCGCCA